GCAGAAAATGTCATTGTGTGTCCAAAATCAAAGTAGGTTGTTTGAGGGGCAGACTCTATCCATTTTAGTTCATGCTACTTTTACGTTGTATAAATGGAGCTTGCAAACAAACTTGTACATTGTTTATTCAATTGAGATGTCTACATCTTTCATTTTTTGTTATCAAATCAAACTGCTCATATTAGTTTTTAATTAAGCTTACATATGTTAATGTGTACAAATCTTTCTAACCTAGGTTTTCAGTTATTTTTTTTGGTGAATTTCAAGAAATCCAGAGGATTGATTTTTGAGGGAGTGATGAGGCAGAAGTAATAGATACCTTGATCTTCCTAAATTTGAACAGAGACCTTAAGGAGTTCAACTTCTGCTGTGTTCCTGCTTTCAAAGTTGAAACCAGTTAATGACCATTCTCTTTTATTTTGGCATCCCTCACATAGTAGAACAATATTTATTTTTAATCACCCAAAATATACAGGAAAAACAGGAATGAGTTTGTATCAAAGATGTTCAGTGCAGCATTATTTATGATGATATATATTTCTAAAGCATCCAGACATCCAGGTGATTTGATTAACTAAACTTCATTACATCTATGAGATAATATTATCTATTTATCTATCTTTCTGTCTATGATATTTAATGAGAAAGAGAATGAAATAAATAAATAAAAGCATTCATACACTGTAATTCCAATTTTGTAAAAAGACATCCAACAACCAAACACACAGAATAAGTAGGGAAGGAGTGATTATTCCCCAGCTGTCAAGCATAAGAATTTTTTTTTTAAATACGTTACTGCATCCTACAAAATTTTGACATGTACATATTACTTTTACAATTAAAAAATAGTAATGAGTCATTGTTACTATGTGCTAGGCACTGTTTTAAATACTTTACATAAACTAACTAATTTAATCCTCATAACCACCCTTTGAGATAAGCACTACTTTTACTCCATTCTATAAATGATGAAATTGATATTCACAGAGGTTAAGCAATTTGCTCAAATCATGCAGTTGGTACCTGATGATGCCAAGATTTGAACCCAGGCTGCGTGACTCCAGACCCATGCTTTTAGTACACATTCTAAAGAAAACCAGTTGTCCAAACAGCATATTTGTGATTACATAGTTACTTAAACTAAACCTTATTACCCAAGAGGATAACATTAGCTCAGGCAAACCCAAGTATATAATATCTAAATCTGAATAAAAACAAGCACGTGAACATATTTCTGATGTCAAGGTTCAGAGTTGTTTAATTTTATATAATTCAATTTTCTTTATTCTAATTGTAGACTCTGCTAACAATTTTATCATAGACAATTTTGACCTTCCGCTTTCATGCTCAAAGAAAGCATGATATTAAAGACTGGGCTCTTGTAGCTATGTCTGTGTGTTGCCAGATAAAGGGGTGGTCTTCTGGAATAGGTCAACATGGATAGACTAAATATGCCAAAAGCCCAAAAGAAACAATTTCTTAGCTCATGTTCTCAAATTGATTACAAAATTGTTGAATCTGCACTTCACTTTGAAATGTGTATGGTCACGAAAAAAAAAATTACCTGCATTACATATGTTTGTTCTTATGAAAACAGCTTCGTTCAAAGAACAAAGTTCTAGCCATATAGGAAAGTAATTCCATGAGCCTATTGGCCCCCGTTTCTCTTGGCAGGGTCTCATAGTTCTTTAAAACGCTAAATTTAAATATGCTTAAGAGACATTCTCCAGGGTTCTAAGCAAATAGAACAGGGAATGGTTGCAAATCCTGCTCTCACCTGCTACGTGCCTCAAGACTATGCTCTTACTTGCTTGTCTTCCACACCAGTGCCTCTCATCACCTGTCTCTGTGGACCTTTGATCCTCAAATGGCCTTGAAGAGCTCCTGAGCCCTACGTGCTTAGGCTAATTCTCAGGGCTTGCACTTTGTCCCAGCCTTGTTTCCTGGTCTACCTGCCCAGAGGATGGGAAGACAAGCACCTCAGCCTGTTCTGTCTTCCATTCCTTACAGTCACTTCATTTCACCCTGGGCTATTTTGTTCTGACTTCTGCCCTCCCAGTCTCATTTCTTCTCTAGCTTCTTCCAGATCATGCCCATTTATGCCTCTGTCCCATTTTCCTTCCTCTTGGGGAGAAAAAAGTAAATATTAAAAAAAATAAACTAACGATGCCCGGCACCACTAGTTTAATTAGTGTTCTTAGCATAAATGCAGTTCTCCTCTGAATCAGTGAAAAAAAAGACATGAATCTTAAAATTAAGCTGATCATCATGCAAACTAGTGTCAGTAAGCATTGAAGCTCATAAATGTACTGAAAGAGCCCTTCAAAATCTCCAAAGAACTTTTCTCCTCCTGTAATTCTGATGCGGGGTCGGTGAGCCGAGGAGTCGAAAGAAAGATTTCTTATACTCTTAAGATCTGGCAGTAGTGCTCTTTTATTTAGAGAATAGAATAGCATGGGGACAGGACCCATGGGCAGTCAGAGCTTCTGCTGCCCCCACTGGCATGGGGACAGGGCCCATGGGCAGGCAGAGCTGCTGCTGCTGCCCCGAGTTGAGGGTTAGGGCTAATTTTATAAGGCATGGGTATGTGAGTTATCTCTTTACAAGACAAAGGAAAGAACATGAAAAAAAATTAAAATGGTATCAGTGCAGGTGGGGTCTGGTCATTGGGTGATCCCATGACTTTTAGACAAGAATCAAATCGGATTAAATAAAGGTTAGAAAGGTTAGAAGCTACCACCCTAAATCAGTTACATGAGATTGCCAGACAGCAACCAACTTAAGTTCTTGCCTTCCCCATTAAGAGTTTCTAGGGACAAGGTCATCTCTCTTCTTCTTCCTGGTACAGAGAGGGAGGCACCTTTTACAGATAGAGATTTACCTTACAAATGTAAATGTGTCCCAACAAGGGCAAGTTCCATTCCCCAGAGCCTCCTTCCCTGTCCCAGTTTATCGAAAGCAATCAGCCCCAAACAATCCCGATGCCAAAGAGACACATCCTGGGGTGGCCAATTTCAGGTCCCTACAAGGTTATCCCCCCTTCCTTCACAAACGCAAATGTCTCTCAAAAGGGCAAGCAAATTCCAGTCCTCGGAGCCTGCTTCTCATCTGCAGTTTTCCTCATCAATTCTACTTATTTTCTTTAAATACCAAATGCACACATAACTACATAAATTCTTCTTATTACACGTTTTATCAAGGTTCCAACAAAATTGTTCGGAATTTCGACCATTTTATAGGTTTTGTTTTGAGTGAGCCTGGAGGTCTAAGCAACATTTAAGCATTTCTCTATGCAATTCTCTGTTCTAGATTTGAAAGACACAGATAAACTCTCTGAGTCCTTCCTAAATCTTCGTTAATAAACTCACGGCCTCGTAGACTCCCTCATTTCTGGTTCTTGTAGAGAATGTATGTCTTTACATATTTGCAGATTCATCTGTGAAACTTGAGATTAGCCTTTGGGAGCTTTGTGTTAATTAAAAAAGGGAAATCAATGGGCCTGTGAATCTACCTTTTCCTGGGGTTGATTAAAATCCAAGAAGAAATTAAGACCAAGTTAAACAGAAAAACTATATAGGTGGGAGAAATATTTACTGTGTACACACAACTCTCTCACAAGCACATACAAAATATGTTATTTTATTTTTTTATTGAAGAAAAAAGATATTAAAAAATCCAGTGACTGATTTTGCTTCTTGAACCAAATCAAATATTTTCTTGTCAGAGCACTCATAACTGCAGCCTGCAGAGGTCATGGCCTTAACTTTCTCCTTCAGATGGTCTGTGAGTGGAATGTCCTTACGATTAAGGCTCCTTTTGTTTTCCTTGGGAGGGTTTTGCTTACACTGGCAAGCGCCTGAGACGCACCAAGGTTCTCGAGACTCTGTTTATTAGATTTTTATCTTCTTATCAGAGTCTTCCTTCTTAAATCATGTCAGCATTTTACCACTCTTCTGGGATTCCTGGTGTTTTATTGTCTATGAACTGCTTGGGGGGTGGTCAAGGAGGGAGCTAGCCTAACAAATATAACATTTATATAATAGTAGGAATGGGGAGGATGCTATCTTCTCTTATTATTCCCACACTCACGGATGCTTCCTCTCTGCCTGCCTGAGGGCCCCCGGGAAGCCCATCGTTTGCTCTGCCCATGCTTATTTGTCAACGAAGTGACATGGCTTCTCTGTGGACGGCCTGCTTTTCAGTCATTTTGAGTGGCTCTTTAAACCCACGTGTACTTGCTTAGACCATTTTTAATCATCCAGAGAGACCGTTGCGTGAGTGGGTGATTGCTTTGAACCTAAGAATGTTATTGGGTTTTAGTCACAGAGAGAGTCTGGATGTCAAAAGTCCATTCCCTCTCCTGTTCTAGCCCTTTCTTACCACATTGGTCTGAAACTTTAAACCAACCTCATGCTAAAGTGTCCAAACTTTGTAGCCTAAATAGCAAGCGTTGTCCAGCTTTCGCTAAGGGTGGGGTTTTATGGGACAGTGGAGGGAGGTGGCGGGAAACCAGGAAACGCAGAGGAAGGCTCAGTGCTGGGAAAGTGAATCACCTCCTTTCCCTTTCACTGCGCCCCACATGACTCATACGAGTAGCATTTTTTTTAATCATAAGCTGATCTTTCTCAGTTACACACATTTTTTAAAACATAAGTTTTAACCAGTAAGTTTAACTAGAAAGAAAATCTTATCAGAGAAAAGATCCATATCTTTCCATTGAGGCCATAAAGCTTGTTGCTGTGTTGTTGCATACTGCTTTCAGAATTCGTTAAAAACTGTAATCCTAATAGAATAAAACACGAACTCCTAAACAGGTTCCAGGACAGGAGATTCCACTGATATGCAAATCCTCTTGGATATGAATTGGTTTTTATTTATTTCCCATACGCTCATACACGGGAAGAATTTGATCTACGCCGGGGAAATACAGTCATCAAAGAGCATTAATGTGTTTTCTAATGTTCATCCACCCCTTCAAAAAATATTTATTGAGTGCTTACCTGCGTGAGGCGTTGTTTATCTTGGAATCCCCAGTCCACGGGGATATTGGAAGTACTGCCGGGTATACACACTTTCATCATTCTGTGCTGTGCCTGAGAACATAAAATTCTCTTTCCGCTGGTGAGTGGCTGTCTCACTCTGACTCCTTGCTAGGACCTCAGGGTATGTGCAGCATTCCACAGCAAGGAAACTGTGAATTCCATGGAGAATCAAGTAGGTTTTTTTTTCTTCCTCTAATGAATCTTCAACGACTATTTTTTTTCTTCAAGAGCATTCTCCCAACTTATTAAAGCAATAAGTTCCTGTGGAAAAGTGCTTAACATAACAGTTTTGTGGCCAGATTTCCCTTCCAAATGATAACATCGCAGCGAAGGAGGAGCACAAGGTTTGGAAATTTGGGACTGAATACTACCAACATGTTTTTTAAGATAAAAATGAATAATTATGAAAGAGGTTTGAAATTTTGTCGTGAAGACTCATGTCCATTTTTCAACTGTTTCTACTTAATTGGGTTTTTTTCTCAAATTCTCTTCTCACCCAAGTGCCGATTTGAGCACTCAGTCTCTTGACTAACCCACATACTCAGACTTCATTTGCAAGATTTTCTGTGATTTGAGTATTCTAACTATTTAGGATTTTCCTTACTTCTTCAGCATCATCATAGTTTTCACCTTTGTAATTAATTTACCCTTTACAAAAAATATATAGTTATGGATAAAATCCTGATCTTTAATGGAACGTGACACATAATTGTTAATACTGTATTGTATTAAAACACGCAGTAGGACTATCGGTATCCGTGAAGCTTAAGTTTCCAGGCTTTCTGAAACTAGTGAAATTAAATCAGTTATCTCCTTGTTGGTGCCATTATAATAATCTTTCAGAGATACTATGGTTGACCCCAGGTCATTCATTCATTCATCATTCATTCATTCATCATTCATTCAGCCAAGATTTATTTATCAGCCTTTATCTTCCAGACCTAGTGTTAGGTATTAGGGGGAGGAAAAATCAGACATAATGATTGTTTTTAATATGAGCTCCTACTTGAGTTCCTTTGAGTTTTACTGAAATATAAACAAATATTTATAATATAGTAGGTAAGTGTTATTTGATGTCACAAGGAGAGAGTCACTGATGGCCTGGAGAAGACCCAACCAAGTTCTGAGTCAGGTCCCTAAGGAAGAGTAGGAATTTGGGGGAGGGATTTATATTGCAGACAGAGAAGTATTAGGCAAGGGCAAAGGGAAGAGAATAAGCACAAATCAGCCTGGGAAAGCCACACGGACGGGAGTGATGGGAAGTGATAATCAAAGTTAAAATAGCATTTGCTTATGAAGGGCTCCTGTGCATATTGAGGAGTTTGGTGATGTTTCCCCCACTCCCTGCCCCCTATTTAAAGTAAAAAAGTTAATTTTCCGATAGTATGTGGTCAATCAGCCTTATTAGTCCTAACGTAAGCAGTATTAGCCTTACTAACTGCAAACTTTTCATTATATTTTGTGAGTTCAGCAGGAGACATTATTGTATTCATTTTATCTATGACTATTTTGTCAAACCATTGCTTTTCATCCATCTTATAACAATAAAACAACAGGTACTCCACATCCACAACGATGTCCAGGCAATCATGTACACCTTACTCCTCTGACACACATGTTCCAGCAAAGTTTTCAAATATTCACTGCTTGGAACCCTAATTTACTCTGCACACGTGGGAAAACATAAAGAAAAACAAAGGTGACATGGTCAACAGACCACATATGTCTAATTTCCTACTTAAGAGCCACTGGAAGAGACGAGATGTACCAGTGGCGGGAAATAACTAAGTAGGATCGGAGATGTATTTATGTGTGAAGTCTTTAAAGCTAATTCTACAGCTATATAAGAATATGTATTTGTTCCTGGAAATATAACCCACGTCCTCCAAACTGTGTGGTGTGTTGAAGGTATCCAACCTATGGCAAAGCCTTGTCCCAGTTAAGAAACAGATTGCCATTAAATTGCTGTATGTGTGTATGTGTGTGTGATCTACAATGCGTAGTTTTTTGTTCTTATTTTACATATACAAAGTGTCATTTTCCTGTAAAACTACAGGTGATCCATACTCAATTATCATTTATTTTAGAGATTAAAAATAAAATGGAATATTTTACATGATATGAAAGTAAACTTGAAGACAGAAGCAACTGAAGACTCAGAAAACAATGCAGAATGCTGTGCACTAAGGAGATGGGGACTCTGGAAGAGAAACACCTCAGAGCACAAACATCCAGATTTCAAAATATCAGATAGATTTCACTCACGCCTGAAAGTCACAGAAAACCTTTGGTGACATGAAGTTTTTCACATGTGCTACGAATGCAGCTATCTAAGCAAAGTATTATGATTCTAAGTGAGATTAAGAGAAATAAAAAACGTGTAGATAACTAGAAATACAACTATTTAAAGATTATAGAACAAAAAGTCAGCTATGACAAACTGACCTTCTAGATACTAAATTCAAGGGAAACTTGTTTATTTCATAGCTCAAGGCAAACAAGCCAGAAATTTTCTAAGCTATAGGTTAATGATTTTTCTTTACCAATGAGCATGTGCACACGGTCAACTGTACTTTTGTAACTTTTCTGGCAAAATCTTCAAACAGCCATATCTTTCAGTTTTTACTGAACAGATAATTATGCAAACTTGGGTAAGTGACCCTTCTCAATAATAGAATTTATTTGGAGGAAAGACCATATGGAAAGGCTAATGTTGTATCTCGTATTGCATTAGACCTGCTGTAGTCAAATTCTACATTTAAAATAGTTTCCAAGGGATCACCCACTTTAGCTTCAGGTAAAATAATTGATGTGTCATATCTCATGGCTTATTTTGTTTTTTTTCTTTCTCCCCCATTTCTGCCTCTTTCCCAGTAATCCCACATTTCCCCTACCCACTCCTTCACACACACACACACCACTCCACACACATATACACAAACACAAACTGACACACACACACCACTACTTTATACATACACACTGACCTTCTGGATCTATTTTTAACTATTTTCTCTCCTCCTGCAGGATTATGGCAATGGTTATCAGTAGTGTTTGGAATTGGAAGTGTGTGGAGAAGGAAATCATAACACAGAGAGAAAAGTTGAAGGACAAAATTATTGACAACATGCGTCCCTCTAACTCTGCTTCTTTCCTCCCATGCTTGATGATTTCAGGTAGCCAAGCAAAGGTGGGTCTCGCTTAAGACCATATCCGCAGAGAGATTCATGCCAAGGACTCCCTCCCTCAGCCTTGAAACTGAAGCAAAGGCAACATGATGCTGAAAGGAGAGGACGCCTGACCATCTGTAGAAACTGGTTTAATTGCAGCTTCTCTACAAAACGGCACATTGGAACTTCCTAATAAGTGGTTTTTTTTGTTGTTGTTTTTTAATTCTAGATGTAGAAAATATAGCTTGGAAACCAAAGAAGACAAATAACTAGTATACGTGTAAACTGACACTGTTTTTTTTATAAAACATATTGACAATCTGTATCAGAAGCTTTTAAAATATGATGCCCACTGATCCAGTAACTCAAGGTTTTAGAATATAGACCAAGAAAGTTATCTGAAGCAAAGAAATGAAGTTTTATGCCTGATGCCCCATAGGGATCAATATTGTGTTATTGATAGTGGCAAAAACTTGGATATGAGAAAATATCCAACAGGGAAGTGGTTAGTAAATTAGAAAGTATCCTCATAGTAAAGTGATAAATTAAATTTCTATTCATGAATTCTTTGTAGTAACAAGGAAAATATACATGATAAATTGCTAAGTGCTAAGGGACAAAGCAGAATTCAAAATCCTGTATATAGGATGATCTCAATGATGAAACAAGGAATAAATAAACAAATAAATACTTAAAAGACTGATATTAAAATACCAGTAGAAGTCATCTGTAGATAGTATGATTGTGATAGTATTTTCTTTGATACTTTTAAGTATTTTCCATTTTTTCACAACAAAAATGTGATTTTATAATAAAAATTTAAACTTCATTTCAAAAATATAATGGCTTTGATTAGCTGTATTTAATTAGCTTTATCAGTTTCTATTTTCCCAGTGGTTTTATTACTTCAACTACATTATGAGTGGGGTGGAATTCTAAGAGACAATGCAGGTTCTCTTGATACATTAAAAACATATTTCCTTAAAAAGTCTAGATGGTAAGAGAAAGTAGATCAAGTATTATCTAAAGCTTATGAATAGTGAGGCTAATACCAATATCTCATAGCTGGCATCCAATTACTAGAACATGTGGGATGTTTGTATTATTGTTTACAAATTACAGACAATCTGGAATATTACCGAAGTTACCAAAAACAACTCCGATAGTAGAAACTTAAAGTATACTATTACTCAGTTTATTTTTATAGGAAATCTGAAATATGGCTGATGGGAATGGATTAATCTCCTACTTATAAATCACTACAATTAAAAGAAATTTATATTTCAGTGATGGAGGAGACAAATATTTATTAAGTGTCTGTTGTTCCAGAACAAATTAGAGCTGCTTTAAATTCCGAGGCTGCAGCCCAGCGATAAAGAGCTCAGCCTCTGGAGTGATACAAATGGGTTTAATTCTCAACTCTGGCACTCACTGTGTGACCTTGGGAGATTCACATAACCAAACATCACATTCCTTATCTACAAAATGGGCATCATAATGGCAGCCATTTCGTTTGAGCCAGATAGACACTGAGGAAGCCATTTGTGCAAAGCTTCCCCAGAAACAGTGTGGCCCATTCCTGGACCTGTGAATCATCCAGTGAGAATGGAGGTTAGGGTACAAATGGGAACAGAAGAGACAAGTAGGTGAGGTTAAGCAGGCCAGATGCCAGAGGGCACTAGATTTAATGCCTACAGGTTTTGACTTTATCCTGAGGGCAATAGGGAACCACTGACTGGATGGAGCGAAAAGGGATATGCTCTTTAAACATTTCCAGAATTACAGGATAGGGACTTAAAAACTGCTCTGCCTAAATGGCCAGTAACTCGTGTATCTTGTTCTTGATCATATTTGTGTAGAATGGCATCGCTTATAAAAGGTACAAAAAGTCTTTAAGCTAGTCTTCTCTCACCTCCTGGGTGTTGGCCATGAGGGAGAAGCATCCTGTCCCTGGCTTAAGGTTTTCCTTAAGGAGTGAGGCTATGTGGCAAAACTATCTAGTCCTTTTCCTTTCCCTCACTCACTCCACCCTAGGGGCGAAGCGGACTCACCTGATGGATGACTTTGGAGGGATGAACTGAGCCCACCCTGGCCCAGCTGCTTCCCTGCCTGTCTGCGGGGTTGTAGTCTCTCTTGATCTACAAGTTG